CTACTATGAAAGGGTCACTTAGCTGTAGTTCCCTCCACCCCCCCCCAAGACAAAGGTTCCCACTTCCCAGCCTTACCATGGCCCTTGCTCTACATAGTTGGTAAACCTAAAGGAGATGACTTGTGCCCTGTCAGGTTTTCCCTCTCCCTTGGCCAACTGGCTTTCTGGGATTCTTGGCCAGTGTCACAGACAATGATGTAATCAGCGTATGCTTCTTAAAGGGGCCACACCTATTTAAAGGAGATGTGCTCCAGCATCTGGTGCCCAAGCAACATGCAGTCTGCTTTGAGCTCCTTCGCTCTTGTATTGCCTTGTATCGCCTTTCTGTGTACCAACCCTTATCAAAAACAATAGTGAGTCGCCTCCACATTGGCTCCTTGTATTCATCTCTCCCCCTCATAGTATATATGCAAAAAAAGGGGGGTTTGTAGAGAGGGTTTGTGGAGAGATATATACCGAACCATGCTTAAAAGTATAATAGATTTATTTGGCATACAAAATATTGGTAAAATTCATAAATATCATTGTTACATACATAGATGGTTACTGAGAATCTCAGTTTGAACAGCATAATTCATCCAATAGTACATAAATTGATAAAATTCTGATACATATCAGCCATGATTCCTTCCAAATGATCCATTCATTATAAAATTTCTCCAAGGTGTGTCTATCAATGTGTATCTCAAGATAATCGTCTCAGAACGATTCATCCCTACGCGTTTCGCATTCAAGCTTCTTCAGGGGATTCGATTCATCTATCAACTGGAAATTATGCATGTAGTTACTGTATATCATTCATTTGGGTGTGCCCATCTTGATATCATGCCTATAGGGGGTGGGAGAGACCCATTGTCGGGATTCTCCCTGTGTGCATACAGCGCACACCTGGAACAGGCATCAGGTACTCACCTATATCAAGTACCTGGAGGTGGGTCGACATGGAGTAGGGCTGGCACGAGGTGGGTGGCTGGAGGTAGCCCTGCCATCACGTACCGTCCATTCTCTCTATCCGGACCCCGGGGTCTTAAAGGGAAAAATACCCTATAAACCCTATATATGTATATGTGTCGATAGTTTAATCAGCAAACTGATTAAACTATCGACACATATACATATATAGGGTTTATACACACCCACCAACAGCAAGCGACCTCACCCAAGCAAACCTAGGAGCGATTAATCACATATGTGTGTATACATACACCTACAAACCCCCCTTTTTTTGTGTACCAACCCTTGCCTGTTTTCTCAACCACATCCCTGCCTGCTGCCTGAACCGACCCTTTCCCTGCATACCAACCAGTTCTCTACCTACTGCCTGGACTGGCTGTTTACTAGCATACTGACCATGCCTTTTCATTGGCTTCTGTCCTTGTTCTTCATCTTCCCTCCAGCTTGTGCGGTTTACTCTATTGGCAGAATATCGGCTGACCAATGGACTTCCTGTCACACTCTGTTCACCTCTGTGACAAAGAGTGCACCATTAGATTGCAATGTGTGTGGCCATCTTCAGAGGTCTGTGTGATGTCTGTCAGGATAGAAAGGGTTAAGAATGCCCACGAGTCTCACTGCTACAAAAGATACAAACCATATCAAGCCCTGAAGGTTTTTCTGTGATTTTTATTTCTGCCAAAGTAGAGTTCAGTTAAGGTAGGCAAATACACGCCAGACTTCCTAGTGAAGAGCCTTTAACAAACCTATTCCTGGAAATTGACCGATGAATTTCAGACTGTTAAAGCCAAATTAGCATTAATGAAAGCAATGTCCAGTATTTTGTTGATAAACAACAAATATTCGATAGGGAACGTCTGTCTGGATTTCATATACCCAGGAACCACTTTGTAGAGCCAGACGAGGGGGCGGCTCATGCAAAACACTTTTCTGTCTCAGCCTTCGTTGAATATTATTCACATATGACATGCGGTTATAGAAAAACAATGGACCTTGTGTTAAAGTAAGGTATAATCAACTGATGGCGGCACCATTAAAGTATAGAAAGTCCATGGTCCCATCGCACTCCTGACCGCCAAATCCCTTCTAGACTTGTGATAACAGTGGCATCTGTTATAATCACAAGTAGAGACAAAGACACCGGCACTCCAAATTCATAAGCAAATGTCTGTTTATTGACGTGCAGTGTAGCAAACAGCAACAAACGTTTCGGGGTCATAAAAGGGTCGCCCCGAAACTGCACCTCAAAAAAACCAGACGTTTGCTTATGAATTTGGAGTGCCGGTGTATTTGTCTCTACCATTAAAGTATAAGCACCTATTGGGGCAGGCCCGGGCAGCTATTAAAGTATAAGTAATTGTTAGGGCTGCCACAACAGTATAAGCCTCCATTAACATATAAGCATATACATATAAGCTGCCATAACTCAATGGGGCTTCCATTAACATAAGCAATTGGTGGGGCTACCATTAAAGTATACACAACTGGTGGGCCACCATTAAACAATATTCATCTTTTAGAGCTGCTATCAAAAGTATATGCAAATGGCGGGGCCAACCATTAATGTTTAAGCAGTGATGGGCTCCACTATTAAAGTAGAAGCATTGGTGGGGCCCACCATTAAAGTATAAGCAAGTACAAGAGCTGCCATTAAAGTAAAAGCAACAGATGGAGCTGCCATTAAAGTATAAGCATCTGATGAATCCACAGTAAGTGTAAACAATTGTTGGGGCTGCAGTTTAAGTATTAACAACTGGTGGGGCCGCCATTAATGTATGATCAACTGATGAAGCCACAATTTAAGTATAACCACTGTTGAAGTATAAGTAACTGGTGGGGCCACCATTAAAAGTATAAACCCAAACCATTCTAGGTAAAAAAAAAAAAATTGGGTTGTGTTCTTCCTTAATTGGATACAAACCTTTTTGGGTGACATCACTTGAAACATCAGATGCTTCTGATAAATTTCCTACACTAGTACAAAGCAAACACTTCTGGGCTGTATTAGAAAAAGGGACTAGAGCAGGGGTAGCAAAACTCCGGCCCTCCAGCTGTGGTGAAACTACAAATCCCATGATGCATCTCTTCATGGGAGATGTCTGTGGCTGTGAGAATCTTGCAATGCCTCATGGGATTTGTAGTTCCACCACTGCTGGAGGGCCAGAGGTTTGCTACCCCTGGACTAGAGCATCTCATCTAAACTTGAATGGTCCGTGGAAATAAGGAGTTACCCATCTGTAGGCTAAATTCTTAATTTCAGTTTCTTTCACACAAGTGACACCTTGTGGAGATTTGCAGCATTTTGTACAGCTGAATCCAAACACATTCACTACAATAACATGTACCTGTCTTATCTTCCTGCTTATTCTCAGGGGTTTTCTTTTGTTATCAATGTTTGTTATATTCTTTAAAGATGCATGTTAAACAGACACATATGTTCTAGTAGATGTAGACATAAAAAAGGTTTTCTCTGATGTGTTCAGCTAAGACAATACACTCATTAAGTGTACCAGAAAGGACAGGTCTAGAGTGGCTGGGGTATTTAAAGCTGAAGGTTAAGGGGTCCAAAGTATAATTACAGCTTGTGGATCACTTGGCTGTAGATGCTGAAATAATCTCTGAATTGGTGCTGACACTGTCCTTCCTTCTGGAGGGGGGCTACTTTTGTTCCCCATGGTCCCTGTGTGAGTTGTAAAGTAGTCACCGCTCCAAGCTCACTCCCATGATAGACTACAATCTCAATACAAATTAGCACACTAATCCTGAGATTGTAGTCCATCACAGGGGCCTTCAACACCAACTATCTTTCAAATATAATGCCGATAAATATCTTTACCCAATCGATTGGACAATTCACGTCAATGTAAAATGAAGGATTGACACCTGTTACAGACTTACTGGCACCAAGGGACTGGGTTGTGTGACCACACCAAGGTGCTTCCACAAACGCCATATAGTGTTCTTAGACCCATCTGCCTTGACACATTCCTTGGTGATTGGGTTAAGGTGACTGAGTTACCTATGTGTTATAAATGAAGGAGATTTGTAACTAGAACTGAAGAGGTAGCTCAGAAAAGCGACAAAACCTCTTCAAAATGACAGAACAAGTCCAGCTGAATGTGACAAACTACTCCTACTAGATGTACCATGGCCGGGATCATTGGGAACACACACACACACACACACACACACACGAGGGACTCATCCTAGCTGATCAGACAATATTGTTGACTATCCAAGTACTGATTTGCCCAGAGAATTAACCTAAATGCCCATCACAGGGTCCAGGATTCCCCTTGCCTTCTTCTGGACCATCAGTGCCCAAGCAGTACGAGACTTAATATAGGCTGAAAGTCAAAGACTTGGGTCAATTGCCTCACTTGCCTAATTTTTTGTGTATTTGTGTATCACTTGGCTGTAGATCCTCCAATCATCTCTGAATTGGTGCTGACACTGTCCTTCTTTCTGGAGGGGGGCTACTTTTGTTCCCCATGGTCCCTGTGTGTGTTGTAAAGTAGTCACCGCTGCAAGCTCACTCCTGTGATGGGACTACAATCTCAATACAAATGAGGAAACTAAACATGATATTGTAGTCCATCACGGGAGTGAGCTTGGAGCAGTGACTACTTCACAACACACACAGGGACCATGGGGAACAAAAGTAGCCCCCCTCCAGAAAGAAGGACAGTGTCAGCACCAATTCAGAGATGATTGGAGGATCTACAGGCGAGTGATACACAAATAAGATACATTGTTGTTGATAGTTCAGGTACTTGGATGTATTTTTAAGGTTTAACTCCTGATTTTGGTGTCACTTTAAAATGTTTCCATGTTGACACGCGTTAAATACAAAGACACAGAAAGATGTTACATATGAAAAAAGATTTACTGTATGAAATGTTTCTTGAAATTAGCTAAACAAATTGAATGAAATTAGAAGCATGACACGGTGACGGTGCTTGTACAAGAAAAAAAAAAGAAGAAGAATGGCCAATAATTACAATTACATTAAATAATGACATAAACAAATAATTTGGTGAGTCACTTCAGCCGTATCACTTGTACTGAAAACACCAATCAGTGCAAAGTCCAAAAAAATATAAAGGTGCATCATGTGACTCATCTGACGATTTCTTCTTCATCTAGTGCAGACTTCATCGTTACACTGAAAGCAAAGAAAGTCACATTAAAAGGTTTCCTGCCAATGAGATGGGAACATGTTGTTGTGTCATTGTCATCCTACTAGAAACATTGAAAATATGGTGAAAGACGAAATGTCAGCGGTGTTTGCGCTCCCCAAAAATCAGTGCGCCTAAGCGTTTGGCTATCAATACTGACTAACCTCCCACAGGTCGTTAGAGGCCATTAGAGTGTAACTACAGCCCAAAATGTTTTATTGGATTCATTTTACACTTTGGATAGAGTTTTTATGGCTGGCTGTGTCTATTGGGGAGCGTTCCCTTCACTTCCTGCCCCAGAGACACAACAGGAAGTAAGAGGAAATCCCTCCATAGAGAAAATTCCATGGTGCTCAACAGTGTCACTAGAACTAGTGTTCCCATTGGAAGACTTCCCCCATCCGCAGGAAGTGAGCGGAAATCTCTCCATAAGAGGAAGTATCTCCATCTTTCCCAGGAAGGGAGAGGAAACCTCTATCATTCAGGAAGTGGGAGGAAATCTCTCCATCTTTCACAGTCCCAGTGATAGTGATCTTAAAATAGTGCTAAAAAATAAAAAATCTTCCCAGGCGGCCACAGACAGCAAAACCTGTCAAAGGTTCTAACTCTTCCCCCATGCTGTCAAAAACTAAACGTAAACTAAGAAAATATGCTGGAGTACTACTTTAATGACAGACATGTCATGTGACCCTCCTAATAATGTATTTTGTAACATTTTCATTCAATAGAATTTTGGGCCAGCTTAGCATGCATAT